TGCAGGCACAGACAATGAACATCAAGCCATACCACAAGTGTCTCATACAGTTTAGATTCTTAGACACCAATAAAACAGAAATATGGGGGCCTGGCAAGGCAAGGTCCTGAGTTCAATTCCTGGCCAAAAAACAAAAAGCAAATAAAAAACATGATGCAGATATGAACCACTATAAGCATATGACCAACTAATTTCCAATAAACTATATTAAAATGATTAAAAGAAACAAAATTTATAACCAAAATGCAACACAGCAATAATAGAAATCATGACCAAGTGAAGACACCCAATTATCAATTATCTTTCCTCCCAATGCTGGGGATTCTAATTACCCAAGTATGAACACACATCATAGGGGTCTTGTAATATTTCCAACAATAAGCAAAAATCAAGCTTCTAAGAAAAATGGATTATAATATTTGGAAAACTACAGTCACATTAATTTGTTCAATTGAGGCTTTAATAATTCATAATTTTATACAAAAATGAGAATCTATAAAATATTACATTTTCTGTTAACAACACTAGTTAGGCACATGCTATGAGCCAGCCAGGTTGTGAAATGCTACCTACACGGTGACCTCATTTCTTCATCGTAATTTAATATAATAGATATCATATCTATCTTGTAGATGAGAGGATGGAGGCTCACAGCAACACACAACTAGGCAAGCAGCAATACTTCCTTCAGTCACTCTGACCTCAGTGTTCTCCTTTTATGAGCACCTGACCACATTTCGTAGAACTTGCATTGTTTAGACGTATCCCAGCCTCAACAGGAAGCGCTGGGCCACTCACCAGCTGAGTGCACACCATTTTTTGAGCATTGCTTGAAACCATGGTGACAGCATGGCGGAGCCCTCCGAGATGGGCTCTGAAGACATGGCAGGGAGAATCCACAGGACTTGGGACTGGCTGCAAGTGTGAGCTGAGGAGGGGAAAGCAGGAAGTGGCATCTGCAAATGAAGCACTTAACAGGCGAGGAGGACCCACGGTAGGAGGAGCAGGGTGTGGGCTCCGGCTGCAGTTCAGGGCTGACGTGCGGCATCAGGACACTTGAGAGACTTTCTACTCGGAAGCCTGGTAGGCAGCTTGGAAGGAGCAGGGCAGAGGGGAGCGGGAGGGGAGAGAGCTGCGCCCATCCTTGCAATACCGTCCAGTCCTACACTGGTTGAAATTGTCCTGAGATGAGCAAGTCCCTAGCTGAGGGATGCACGTGGCAGGAAGGGTCCTGAGCTGCAGGGTTAGCATAACACGAGAAGTATGTCACCAGGCCTGCTGGGCTCAGGGGAGTGAAAAGTGGAGTCACAGGAAAGCACCGAGCACAAATCTTGAACCTGTGAGAGCCGGTTAGGGCTGCCCTAGCTTCCCACTGCACACACACTCTGTTTGCCAGTGCAGTGTGAGCCCCGCAAGGATGGTTTCTCTCAGGTTTTGTAGTTGCGGAGCACAGTGTAAGCCTGTCTGCCACGTTCTTTAGCCAAGGACCCTAACAAGAAGTTAGGGTACTCTTCCACAGCTGCCACAAGGCCTTTCAAGTGTAAGGCTCAGGCGTTGCTAGGTCTCCTCATCCCACGACACCCTCATAGCACAATAATGTTCCAGCTTCATTCCAAGACACAGAAGAGGCAAACAGAGCACAGAGGGAACAAAACAAGCATAAGAATAGCAGAACCTTACAGGGACGTCTGGAGCCGGCTATTAGTCATGTCAGCCTAATCGGATCAGAGGACAAAGAATAAGATATTTTGGTTCGAGGCTCATTAGAATTTAGAGTGCTTAATTTCCTCCTTAACTTTAAGTGCTGGAAAGGTAGAAATAATGAAGATACCAATAAGATAGAGCATTTTAAATTTTTACAATTAAAAAATTTTTAATTGCTGACATTTAAAATGCTTTTTCTGATACTTTTGGTGGTCTACTCATACAATAGAATTAAGATTAGATGTTTAAAGAAATAACTCTGATTTCAGATAAAAGCACTGACCAAAATTAGACAGGCTTAGAGATAATACTTTAGTTTTCCCATCTAAAATGTAGAAAATCGAGATTCCTTTAGATAACAACATGAAAATAGTTCTTTGGTGACTGCTTGTCATGCATATCAAGCATGTCTTTGAGCCTTAATTGTGAATAATTGGCTTTCACTGTAGCGGTTGTGATAACTCATTAATTCACCTATCTATTACTTAGCTTTCAAACACATATGGTGACATGAGTCAGTGACATCAAGGCTGGAATCCAGGCTCAGAATCTCGCAGCAGATAGGAGAGCTCGGCACCCCTGGTGTGGCACTTCCAGCGGTGTCCCGTGATATCCCACGCCACGGCGGGTGACAGGCTGTCTGCGTGCATCAGGTAGTCATGCTTATGGTCCCAGCCATCAAAATGAACTTGTTGAAATGAGTTTTGAGTGATTACCATTTCAGAACTACAATTCCACTGTTCCCGTACCTAAATATTTGAAAACAGCTCTCTGAAGCTGAGATCGAAATGTTATTGTTCACACCCTATAACTGAAACAATATTTAAAATACACTGTCCCACAACCTTCTAATCTATCAGCAGAGGAGACTGTATTGATGTTTTCAAAGAAACTAAAGAGGTAGAAATTGAAAAATGTATCAGAGAGAGTTTGAAGAAGTAAGACCATTGTGTTTTTTCAAGAGAGACAAATGCTATGCCCACAGTTCAGAGGACAATTTCTGTCCTTGGTGACTGTCCTGGTCACCACTACAAAAACCACATCAGGGTCCTGACAAACACCACCCACACAAATGATATCAGTGCCAGCCTCATACTGGTAGGAAAAACATGAGATAGAGTTAGAGATACAGTGAGAGTTAGAGGAGCAGTGATTCCCTAAATCCTCTCGGGAGAAGGCAGACAGACTGAAGGGAACCGTGGAGGCAAAGGCAGGAGGTGAAGTGTGTTCTGAGAGTGACTAGCTCCCTTGATAACTACAAAAGGAAGGTGGAAGCTACCAGGAAATCTTCCCAGCACTTCCTGGTCCAGCAATCCACGTGGGAGGGGCTCCTACAAGAATCATTGTTCAATGCTTTGTATTTTTTTAATTTTAATTAAGTTTTGGGTCACATTTTAGATATACATAGTGATCATATTCATCAGAGGGAGTTTGTACCTGCACATGATATATCTTGGTTCTTCAATTCACACATAAACCTGCCCCTCTATATTTATCCAAGAATATTTATGGTATAACTTATGAAACAAAAATCAAATGCTTCTTAAGTGTAACTATGTCTATGTTTGAAAAGTTTCATATCAGCATGGAAAAGTCAACTTTTTGTCCAAAATAAAAGCATTCACTACTAAATAACTACTTTCTTATGTATTTTCTGGTTTTGGATACCAATGAAATAGAAAATCTATTCTTTTTCAATGTACAAAGAGCCCTGGTAATTTTTTGAAAACCATACTATGAGTGGGACACTAAGGGATGGGACTCATCAATCAGTGTGAAAGTAAGTCTTCTAGGGGACGTGACATATGTTCACTGAGAATGGTGACCTCAGGAACAGACCTCTACCAGATCAGGTTTCAGGCCACTGTGGAGTGCATGTTCATGGTTAGGACTCTACGAATGGATAAAATACACACAGTGGTAGTTTTTAGACTGGAGAAGAGGAAGCACAGAAATGCAGTCCAAAAGAGAAGGAACACAGCCCAGAGAAATCCTAACATTAGCCTAGGGCGATTTCTTCATTGGTACCCAGGGAGCAGGAATACAAATAAGGTGGTTTTGGTGCGCACACTAATTACAGCTCACAGTTGGTGGAGCAGTGGACAAAGAGTTAAAGCAAAAGACGCCACAAAGAAAGGACCCAAAATGGTCATGCAAGGTAAGGCTTTGTGGGAAGCACAGGAGCCGAGTGCAGAGAGACATCAAATGTTATTGGGAGAACAGAAAGACCAGGGTTCAAAAAAGCTCAATGAGTTCTTAAGCAATTACTTTGACACCTCAGAGTCCAGTGTTTTAAGGGAAGATCCATCTCTAAAATAAAGGCTACTCTAGATCAGTCCATGAAAAGGGCAAAGGCAACAATACAGAAGAAGAAAAAGAATCACCAGGTATTAGCCATCCGATAGGACGAACTCTGCCTTTTCTGAATGAAGCAAACATTTCCACTGCACGCTGTATCACCCATAAGATCCAATACACAATGGAAATTATTGGCCACATAAATAAGCCGGGAGTGTGAACCGGAGACAGTGTTTAAAGGAGCTGTCAAAAGAAGCAGAGCCGAGGTGACCCAGATGCTGCTGTTAGCAGACAGGGACTTTAAGGAAGCTTGTAGGATATGGACAAGAACTCAGACAGAAACACTCTTAATGAATGAACAGATGGAGAATCTTTGCAGAGTAATGAGCTTATAAAAATAAAACAAATGAGAATCCTTGAAATGAAAACCAAAGGATCTGAAATAAAACAGTGGCCCGAGAGGCTTATAAGAAGTTGGAAGATGGCGGAAAAGTAGATGAGTGACCATGAAAGCAGATTCATTGAAATGGTTAAGGAAGAGATAAATAACTCATGGTTTAAATAATGAGTAGATCCCAGGTCAGGTGCTTGTGATGTAATAGTAACCCAGCGTGCAGGAGAGAAGGGAAAGAAGGGCACAGTGCTCCCAACACTGAGAGAAGGATGGTCAAAACACTTTCTAATTTGTCCAACCTATCAATTTAAAGTTTAAGAAGAATAGAAAAACCCAAACAAAAATAAATAAATAAAACAAATCGAAACTAGGCAAATCTTAGTGATTGCAAGCTAAAAAGAGCATCTTGAAAGCAACCAGAAATGCAACACCTTGTGTCGTGTGAAACTGTGACAGGAAAACTGGAAATTTCTCAGCAGAAACACTGAGACAGAAGACAAAGAAATGACATCTGCCAATGAGCTTCCTAAATCCAATAAAAATATCCTTCCCAATGAGCACACCAAAAACACTTCCAAGTAAACAAAAGCAGAACAGTAATTACCTGTAGATTTGCAGTACAAGAAGCGTCAAAGGAGGCATTGAAGGTGGAAGGGAGGCGAGACCGGAAGGAAAAAAACCCGCAGGATTGAATGAAAAGCACCGGAAGTGGCGACCGTGCAGGGAAATGAATTTACTCACGCACAGCAGAGCAAAGAAGGAGAAGAGCGAGGTCATCCTGATGGTGCCGAGAATGTGCTTGATGAAGCTGAACACACAGTGCTAAGCACGCACAGCAAACCAACCCTCGCAGGGAGCCCCTCGGCGTGATAAACTCACAGCAACAAGAGGAACTTACAAGAAACAGCACACAAACTGATATTCCACTGAATATTTGTCTCCCAAAAAAATCAGCAGTGCGGCAAATTTACTGATTTTTTTTCCACTTCTATTCGACATTTCCATGAAGTACAATAAAGCAAGAAAAAGCAATAAATGTATAACAATTGCACAATAAGAAGTAACACTCTTGTTCACAGATGATAGTTACCTATGCAGAAAATTATACCTAAAAATTAGTAATTACTACAATTTAGCAACAGTGCAAGATTCAAGATCAACATAAAATAATCAGCTGTATTTCTGTATGCTGGCAACAAACAACTGGAAGAAAAAAATTTAAATTCTATAGGGAACATCATTAAGAAAAACATGAAGTTAAAAAAGAGCTAAGATGACAAAATGCACAAGATATCTACTGAGGAAACTTTAAAATTTCCTAAGAGAAATTAAAAATGACCCATGTATATAAAGAGAACTATCATGCCCAGAGGCAAAAAAAAGTCCCTATCATTAAAATGCCATTTACCCTTAATTGCTCTACTGAGCATTCAAAAGATCAAGATTTTTTTGTATCTTTGACAAGTTCATTCTAACATTTTACAGCAAAGAAAATTACCTAGAATACCCAAAACAAGTTTGAATAAAAATGTACAAGGTTGGAAGACTCATAGCACCTAATGTCTTGAATTACCCTAGGTACATTTACTAAGGCAACGTTCTTCTGACTTATAGCAGATAAATATATTAACAGAATAAGGTACCTAAGTTGGTCCACATATATGGAGTCAATTAATTTTCAATAATATGATACCAATATTCAACAAATAAAGAACAATTTTTTCAAGCAAATACTAGACGTTAGACATTCATATGTGAAAAGAAAACAAGCCAGCTGAATTCTATTTAATGTACCACATGTAAATGAATTTGAAATGGATTCTAGACCTAATCACAAAAGCTAAAACTACAACACCCAACACAAAAACAAGATAAAATCTTGATGATATTGGAATATTTAAGGATTGACTAGCACATATGAAGTGCTGTCTTTACAGGAATAAAATGAATGAATTCAGGTTTGCCATAACCAGAAACCCTTCTTTTTTAAAATTATCAATATAAAAGCAAGCTACAAGCATTTTCAATATGTTAATGAGACAAAGATGATAGGAAATCCAATTAAAATGGGCAAATGACTCAATAAATGCTTGATAGAAAAAGGTTCATATTCACCAAAGATCAACAAATAAAAGACATTCCAAGATAAGCTAAGAATCCATGAAAGGAATCTATGACCAGTATGCCAGCACTACACAATACACGTAAAGTAATCTTATACACTCAAAGTAAGAACAGACATTGAAATTAGGAAAGGATAACATATAAGCAAAATAATAGTAAAATTATAGCTTTTTCTATAATAACTCTGAAAATAAATGGTCTTGATTCTCAAGTTAAAAGACAGATAAGCATACTAGAGTAAAATAAAAGAACCCAACGTTTTGCTGCAAGAAACAGCCCTGCTGTAAAAAATATACATGTACTGAGAGTTGAATAATGGAAAGCAAACTTCTATATTAATAGGATCTGCCCGCAAGCAGATGGAACTATGTTCATATTCAGCAATGTAGATTTCACAATGAAATTATTGAGGGGATTGAAAAACATCAATGAAAGAGGACTGAAAAAATGATCAATATATTAATTTTCCAAAATGAATGAAATTATTATGTATCACAAATATGTATCATTAAAAAAATAAGAGACAAGGAAGGCCACTACATATTGATAAAGGAACAATCCACTATGAAGATAGAACACCTGTAAATATGTTGTGTATGCATCAAACATTGGCCTTCCAATTTTATAAAACAAAGCTATTTACATAACATAAAAGAAAAAATAAGACCCAATACAAAAATAGTTGGTGACTTCAATAACCACTTTAATGAATAGACAGCTAATTCAAAAACAAAATAAAAAGAAATATTGGAGTTAAAGTACATCGGAGGTCAAATATACTTAACAGACATTTGCAGAACATTCCATCAGACAGTTTCAGAGTATACATTCCTTTCAGCAACTCAGATACATTCTCCACAATATTTGGTTGTATTTTAGTTCATAAACCAAGTCCTAAAAAATATAATAATAATTTAAATAATTTTTTGCTTCATACCAGATCATCATGGAATGAAACTAGAAATTAACAGCAAAAGGAACTATACAAAGGATGGAAATTGAATGATGAATATTTGAATGATCAGTGGGTCACTGAAGAACTTGAGAAAATCTTAACATTCCTAAAGGCAAATGAAAACAGGAACATGTTACAATGGCAAGCAGAAACACTGAAGCAACACCCAGGATTTGGAGGCAGATTTATTTAAGCCAACAGTCACTGATGGGAGTCATTCCCAGAATATCAAGTCCTGATCTCAGGGGGTCTAGGGTTTACATGACATAAGCAAGCAGGAAGTGCAGAGGCAGAATGGCTTGTCAGTTGGGGGTTGGTTCATACAATGTGCATCACAGTGACCAGCTGAGGATCACAGTGACCAGCTGAGGATCACAGTGACCAGCTGAGGATCACAGTGACCAGCTGAGGATCACAGTGACCAGCTGAGGATCACAGTGACCAGCTGTGCATCATAGTGACCAGCCATTTCCAAGAGACAGATGCAACCAGAACTGGAATATGAACTATTACTTGGGCAACTAAGAAAATGAAGTATACTGGGTGGGGAAAGGAAGGATTTTCTGCTGCAATGTCAGAATCCCTTGGATGCAGTAAAATAGTTCTAAGAAGGAAGTGTATAGCTGTAAATGCTACAAAGAACTACAGACAGAACTCAAGTAAATAACCTATGGTGCATCTCAAAGTCCTAGACATAAGAAAAACCAAAATCAAATCTAATAGAAGAAATAATTAATGAAAACCAGAGTTGGAATTAATAACATAGAAACTAAAAAAGCAATACAAAAGATCAATTAAACAAAGAGTTGATATTTTGAAAAGATCAACAAGATTGGTAAATCCTTAGTCAAACTAACAAAAGAGGGGGGATCTAAATTAATACTATTAGAAGTGTGAAAGGGGATGTTATAACAAACAGCACTGAAATTCAGAGAATCACTAGGGCTATTTTGAAAACCTCTGTTCCAATAAACTGGAAAACCTAGAAAAAATGAATATTTACACACATAGAGCCTACTGATACTGAATTAAAAAGATACGAAAACTTTAAACGTATCAGTAATAAGAAATCACATTGAAGCAGCAATAAAAAGTTTCCCAACAAAAGAATTCCCAAGATCAGACAGATTCACTGTGGAATTTTGCCAGAACTTTAAAGAACTAATACTAATGTCCTCCAAACTGCCCGCTGAAATATAAATGAAAAGAATGCTTTCAAACTAATCCTATGAAGATAATATCACCCTTATAGCAAAACTGGATAAATATACAACTACCACCACAAAAACTATGAAGTAAAAACCTTGATGCAAATAGATGCAAATATCCTTAATAAATTACTTGCAAACTGAATTCATCAACATATTAAAAAAGAACACACACCATGATAGAGTTGTTTTCATGCTAGATATAAAAGGATGGTTCAACTGATGAAAATTAATAAATATAATACATCATACAAATATAATGGATTAAAATCACATGACCATTTTAATTTATGCAGATAAAGCCTTCTACAAAATTCAACATTTCTTCATGTTATAAACCCTACAGGAGCTAGATATATGTTACGGTTTGTGTCTGGGTGGCCCCTCAAGCCTCATGCAGTGTTGGAAACAGCTAAGTCTAGCATTTGTGATTGGTTTGCTGTGTAGTACTGGGATTGGGGGTGTGAGTGCTGCACCCACGGGGTAGGGGGAACCAGCATACAATATAAAGGAAGGAAGGAGGCATGCTCTCCCCCTCTTTTTGCTCTTTTGTTCTTGTCCATTTCTGCTGCCATGCACAGCCTGCCCTTCAGCCACTCCACTCTGCCTTGGAGACAGCTTGAGTATGGACTGAAACCTCCAAAAAACTGTGAGCTAAACAAACTTTTCCTTCCTTTATTTAGGGTATCAGACATTTTGTCTCAACAATGAGAGAAAAGTAACCAAGACAGTAGAAAAGGACCATACCTAAAGACAATAAAGATTATGTATGACAAACTTATATAGCCAAGGTAGTGGCGGATGAGAAAAACATCCATACAGCATTTCCTGTAAAACCAAGATCAGGATAAAGATGTGTGCTCTGGCTACTCCTGTTGAATATAGTAAATAAAATTTTAGCCAAAACAATTAGTCAAGAAAAAGAAACAAAAGAAATACAAACTGGAAAATAAGAAACAAAGTATCCTAAAATGTAGACAACATGATCTTACTATACCTAGAAGATCTCAAATATTTCACCAAAATAATTTTAGATATGATAAATTCAGCAAAGTAGCCAGATACAAAAATCAACATTTAAAAATCAATAAATTTCCTGGATACCAATAATGAACTAGCTGAGAAACAATCAGGAAATAATTCCACACACAATAGTTTCAAAACATAAAATACCTAGAAATTAACCTAATCAAAGCAGGGAAAGAGTCTGAAATTACAGAACAATGAAAATTGTAGAACACTGAAGAAAATGAAGCATACACTAGAAGATGGAGAGATCTCCTATGTTCATGGATCAACAGAATATTAGTAAAGTGGTCATATTACCAAAAGCACAGGACATAATATCAAGGATCAACTAATGGTACATCAAATTAAAAAGCTTCTGCAAAAAAAGGAAATAGCTAACATATTGAAGACAGAGACAGAAGATTGGAGAATATCTTTGTCATTTATACTCTGACA